ACTAATATTTATATTATAGGGCTAATCTGGGGTTTCTTTTTTTCTTTTTTCTTTTTTCTTTTTTCCATATAATTGACAAGGAACTGCCAGATTGGTAATATTGAATATTGATTTTGTTGGTTTCAAAGACTTTAGGTTGAGGAGGGGCACTGGAGAGTAAACATCCAAGCTGGCCGGGGAAACACCCATGGCTACACTCTGAGAATGAGTCGGGCTCACAAGCCAGCATATAGTTCACAATACACTTTAAATACAAAATAGGCAGGTTGAAAGTAAAGAAGGGAAAAAATATACACAGCAACATTAATCAAAAGCAAACTGGAATGAGGACCAGCTGTTCTGGATGCACTACCAAGATGCTGTGCTCTGAAGGCTGGGACCATAAGGGAGGCCAGGTATGATTCCTGGTCTAATCTAGTGACTGGGCTTGGGGGTGCACACCTGTAATCTCAGTGACTCGGGAGATAACAATAGGAAGACTATTGTGTTGAGGCTGGTGTTGGCAGAACAGTGAGACCCTATCTTAAATAAAAGCTGGGCATCACAGTGCATACCTGTAGTGCCAGCTGCGAGACCGAGGCAGAAGAATCACCATACAGTGAGACCCTGACTTAAAAAAAAATTGCCAGAGGGCACATGCACTCCTGAAGAGAAACAGAGACAGAGAAAGAAAAAATGAGAAAGCACGTCCCATGAGGGATGGTCATGACATGATTCCTTCTTCACTTCTCTCTCCTTTCAGGGTTTTGGGAGCTCACGTACATGTGCCCAGCCCTACTGTGTTCACACTGCACAGGAGGCCATGTGGGATCCAGCCACCTTAACCACCAGCCCAATGACTTGTGGAAATATGCAACTAGTTAGATCGACTTTTATTAAACAAGGGCATCATATTTAATAAAAGGAAGTTGATTTTAAATAGTTACATAGTGTATGAATTCTATATGTTTACCATTCTCAAAATGATCAAATTAGAGCGATGGAGAACAGATTACTACAATAGTGTATCAGAATAAGGTTAGGTAGCATGAAGGAGACCTGATGCTAGAATATTCTATATCTTGGTTGTGGTGGCATCATAGATGGCACAGAACTATATACACACATTGTCTCAGTGTTAATTTCTAGATTTTTTTAATTTAATTTTTATTTATTCATTCATTTATTTTAATTTGACCAGAGAGAGAGACAGAGAGAGGGAAAGGGAGAAAGGAAGCCACCAGGTCTGGGACTCAAACCGTGGTCGGCCATGTAGGAGTGTCCAGCACCTTAATCACCACGCCACCTGCTGGTCCCTCTAGATTTTTTTTTTTTTGAGAGATTTTTGCTATAGGGTGCATGTGCTCTCCATTGACATGGAGAGACAGAAAGTGAGAAATCACAGCCCAGAGGGATGGCCATGTTGCAATCCCTTCTTCTCCATCCCCCTCTCAGGATTTTGGGCGTGCATGCACACGCACCCAATGTGAGTTTCAAGCCATTGAGTCAGGAATCAAACTGCAGTTGCCCATATGGGAATCCAGTGCCTTAACCTCTAAGCCACCTGCTGGCCCCAATTTCTACTTTTCGATAATGTATTTCACCAATGTAAATGTAACCATTGCAAGAAACTATGTAAATAGTACACAATTTACACAGAAACTGTGTAAATAGTATTACCTTTGCAACTTCCAGTAACTCTAATATTTCAAAATAAAACGGCTTTTTCAAAGAGAGATAAAATTGTGCTATAGGGGGAACAGCAGGTAGTGTGGTGGTTAAGGCGCTGGACACTCCTGCAAGGCCGACTGCAGTTCAAGTCCTGGACCTGGTGGCTTGCTTTCTCACATCTTTCCCTCTGTGTCTCTCTCTGGTCAAATTAAAATAAAATGAATGGATAAATAAAATTAAATAAATAATTAAAATTAATTAAATAATTTTTAAGAGTAAATTTTGCAATAGGGCTTGTATGCTCGACAGAGAGACAGACAGAAAGTGAGCAATCACCAGAGAAGGGAGATGGGTATGCTGCAATCCCTTTTCCTCCATTCTTCTCTTGGGATTTTGGGCACACATATGCATGCACACATACACATCTGGCATGAGCTTTTCTGTTTTTTTTTTTTAATTATTTAATTTTACTTATTTATTCATTTATTTTTAGAGAGACACACAAAGTGAGAGAAAATGCGAAAACAAGCTGCCAGGTCTGGGACTCGAACTGTGGTCAGCCATGTGGAAGTCTAGTGCCTAAACCACCATGCCACTCACTTGGTATGAGTTTAAAGTCACTGGGTCCAGTACTCGAACCACAGTCAACTACATGGGAGTCCAGCAACACAACTATTATGCCATCTGCTGGTCCCCAAAATAAAAAAGACTTTAAATGAACCACATACAACCAAAGCATCCTCAACTCCTATTCTCACACCCAGAAATGCATGGAAAACTGCTTAAGGAATGAAAGAAAAGACAGAAATTGCACCACAAAATATGTAACTACAAATATCAGGCACATGGATTTATTGTCCAGCATCACACCGAGTGGATTAAAAAGCCTAGAATTTAAATTGGTCCTAGTCTGGAAATGTCCATAGTTGCTTTTTTTGGGAGAGGTTTTTGCTATAGGGTGTGTGTGCTTACTGGAAAGAGAGAGAGACAGAGACAGAAAGCGAGAAATCACCCCCTCAGGGGGGATGGCCACACAGCAATCCCTTCTCCTCCATTCTCCTCTTGGGCATGCATGCACACGTGCCTGGCGTGGGTTTAAGCTGCCAGGTCTGGGACTTTAGCCCACTGAATTACTTTCAGTTATTATTTTTTTAAACTTTCTTTCTTCCTTTTCTTTTCTTACTTAAATTTGACCAGCAAGGGACAGAGTGAGAGAGAGAAAGTGAGAAAGCAAGTCGCCAGGTCCAAGACTTGAACCAAGTCAACTCCGTGGGAGTCCAACAATGTAACCATTACGCTATCTGCTGGTCCCAATTGGCTTTTGTTTTCTAAAGACTGTTTTCCAAGCTATTATATATATATAATTTATTTGCTACAGGGCACCTGTGAGAGAAAAGGAGAGGGAGAAAAACAGAGAGAGAGAGAGAGAAAGCCATCAAATCTGGGACTTGAACTGCAGTCGGCCATGTGGGAGTCCAGCACCTTAACCACCACACCACCTGCTGGCTTCCAAGCTATTATGTATTTGGAGAACAGAACAATTTGTAATACCTTTTTATAAAAAAATTTAGTTTTGCTATAGGGCACATGTGCTCTCCAGAGAGATAGACACAAAGAAGGAGAGAGAAGGAAAGTGAGAAATCACCTCCAGGGGGCATGGTCATGCCACAATCCCTTCTTCTCCAGTCTCTCTTGGGGATCCTGGGCACGCACACCTGCATAGACACTCTGGGACTCCAACGATGCTGTCAGCAGGTGGGATCCATCACCTTAACCTTTATACTACCTGCCCTATAATACTTTTATTTAATGGGCATTATTTAAAATGTTCTGAGCAAAGCTGTCAGCTTTATTAAAGAGAATTGCTTTTTGTGCCCAATACCTAGTGTAAAATAAAATCAAGTAATTTTTTAAAAAAATGGGGCTGGCAGGTGGTGTGGTGATTAAGGGTGCTGGACTCCCACATGGGTGACTGTGGTTGGAGTCCCAGACCTGGTGGCTTGCTCTCTCACTTTCTCTCTCTCACTCTGTCTCTCACTGGTCAAATTTAAATAAATAAAGTAAGTTTTAAAAAATAATAACCAAAAGTAATTCAGTGGGCTAAAGTGGTACTTACTAAATTAGAAAACTTAGAATCCCATAGATTAAAATCAACCAAATATCTGCTCACAATTTAAGGTCACCAAACACACAAGAAAACAAACCATTAATAGTCAAAGTTGGGGGCCAACAGGTGGTGTGGTGGTTGGGGCAATGGATTCTCACATGGCCAACCACAGCTTGAATCCTGGACCTGGCGGCTTG